ATGTTAGAGTTTTATTTAATATGAGAAGTTGTGGGATACTGTACTATTGTGCACATGATTCAAAAATCCAGGAAATGGCCCAATATTGCTGCACAATATTGTGCCCGTATTGCCAGCAGGAAAAAGGATACCAAGCTTTACATAGCAAAGGGCAGCTTGAATGTTAACACCAATGGCAGCAGTCAAGATGGTCTACACCAGTGGTTCTTAACCTTTGTTACTCAGGTGTTTTTGAACTGCAACTCCCAGAAACCTCAGCCAGCAGAGCTGATGGTGAAGAATTCTGGGAGTTGCAGTCCAAAAACATCTGAGTAACAAAGGTTAAGAACCTGTGGTCTACACTACAGGATGCCTCTTCTCCTCACTACCATTCACAAAGTGACAGCATGTAAGGGAAAATCCCAGAAGCTGACTCCTGTTTTCATGTTATCCACTTCTCCCCCAAACAAAGCAATTGTCAGAATTGTTTTTCAGCAGGTGTGAATGGTAGTAAATCTTCAGACAGAAAAGGTCACCAGTGTCTGCACAGCAGAGTAAAATAGTTTTATTTTTAAAGAATCTTTACTCAAAAACTGCTGATTCAGGGTTGTTTCAAAGTTATAATTTTTGTTCGGAGCACCCTATTTTTTGAATTGGTTTATGGAATTATGAATTGAGCTGTCACACAAAATGTATTGCTGAACACCTGTGCATCAATAATTAGACTGAATGACAGCCAATCATTGATGGGAGAATGTTGATTTGATAAATCTCCCTTGTCTAATAGCAACTCTCTATGCAGCAAATGACATTTGCCCATATACTGTATTTATATTTCCCACATTGACCACTATCCTACTGAGCTTCTGCTGAGCGGAAAGTCCCACCAGCATTGTAATGTGGGATCATACTGCTTGTACAAGTCCTGCCGTTGTTGAGACAGTGAATTCCATGAAGAAAAATCAAGCTGTGCTCGTGAAGTGGCAATGATTGTGCAATTGGAACAATACCATATTAGTCTGTTCCTGGGATCTTCTGCTCAGTAATAAATCAGATATAGAAGTTTATAAAAGATATTGGTAGTTTGCATTGGTAGTAATAGTTCTAGTTCTGTGGTGCTTTTGAAGGGCATGACTGGGCACAGAAAGAGAATAAAAAGAAATTTTAATTTATTTATTAAATCCATATAAATGCTCATTTTCTATTAGTTGTCTTTATTTTAACTTCGGATTGTAAAGCATAGATTCATAAAGACATGTTTTATGTGATATCTTTTAATGATCTGGCACAGTTATATGATTATAAAAAAACTGCTACTAGAGCATGTTGTTTAGAAATATTGCCATCATAATGCTATAATTTCAAGTGGCCCTTTAAAACTGTCACAGTTAGTTCAAGTCTGCTTTCTCTATTTACTTTAATTGAACTTAGGCAATCATAATCGCTAGCTTAAATCTATACCAAGAGTTACAGTTATTTGTCTGCCAAGTATATATTGGGTAAGGGTTACAGAAAGAGTGTTATTACACAATTAATGGAATTTCTTTTAGCTGCCTCAGATTTAGTTGGATATGAAAGAGTAGTACAGAGTTAGAAAACATCTGGAATTCAAAGTATGGAATATTTCTTTTTAAAAAAATTTGGTATGTTGACATTGGAATCATGACATTAAATTGTGTCTGCCATTCTGCTCCAAGAATTCTAGAAATTGCCATGAATCATCATCCAATTGTTAACTCATTTTTTAGAGTTGTGTAGTAATTTATAGATACTGTTGGCACCATATCTGTAAACTGCAAACAAAGTATATATGTTTGTATTTTGATGACATTCTAAAACATGTAATGCCTTTGAAAGAAAAGGCCTTTGGGAAAGTCTTGTCACACTCAACGTCTTAGTCTTAGACTATATAATCAGAGTCATCTCTGTTATTAGTCAGAGTGAGGCATCAAATCTTGGGTGGCATGAAAGAGCAATAAATTCATAATTATCTCAATTTTTTTAATTTTATTTTTACTCTCAGGAAGTGCTTGTCAGGTTTTCCATATTGAGTGTCAAAAGAAGGTTTGTCTTAGGTACTTTACCCAGTGACTTGGGCGATGGTGACTATTTGCTGTTCTGTTTCGGCAAAAAGTGTTGGACTTGCCCAGTTTGCAGGAGCATTTTGGCCTCTTTTTCTTGTGGTTGATGTCAACATAATAGCTTGTGATGTGTAATAAAAACAGCAACAAGAAGGAACCACCATTTGAATGTGCATTGTGGTCATTTTAGGCTTTACTTTGGCATGATTACACTCGGATTTAGGTAAAATGAATTTTTAAGCCTTGTTTTAAAATGTTCTGGCATCTTTATTAGTTATAGCAAATCACTGGCTGTATTTACACTGTTAAAATTGTCTTCTCCATGACCCAGTGAGAAAGTTTTATTACAGTTGTGTTCCTCCTCTAAGGAAGTTAGAGTGAAACATTTCTTTTTTTTATTCTCAACCAATCTGCAAAATGGATTAGGCTGACAAAAACTGACTTCTCCATGGTGTCTGTGAGTCACATACATCAACCTGGTTGTCTCCATTCAGTGCTTACATGTGGGCAATGGTATATGTGCAGCCAGTATGTGCAGTTCCCCATTCCCATATATTACATTGCGGACATGGCAGAAGCATTCCGGTTTTCATGTGACATGTCTGCATAGAGGGGACCAGAGGAGTCTGACTGAGATTATTCTATATACTAGGATTCAATCTGTCAGGTTTGATTTCACACCAGCTTTCAGTTAGGCAATCTCAGTTAGGGATTTTTATCCTTCTTGCCTTTGCTGTTCAAACAAGATGAGAGGGGAGCAAAATGGAGTCAGATGACACTCTGAAAGCAGGTCATGTCTCAGTCTTGGGACTCAACCAGCTTTTGGAGGGCTCTTGGTTCCCTACCCTTATTGAGAATACCAGTGGAGAAGCATACCTTGTATGACACCTTACTTTCCTTGGAAAACATTGGATGTAAATGTCATAAACATACACAGTTGTTGTTGCGGTGGGCAGCTGTAAATAGGTCTGAAAGAGTTAAAAAAATATAAAATACAGTCAGTGATAAACTGGTTATTCGCAAAAGAATGTTGAGTAGTGACATGAGTAGCTCTGGATTGGTAAGCTGATTAATACATACAGTGTGAATGTTTGTTTTTCTACTTATTCAAGACACCAGACATAAAACTGTTTCTTGTGGAATTATTATTCAACCTATCTTTTGAGTTCAAGAACGAAGTCAGTGGCAGACACTTGCAATGTTGAAGTTATCCTTGACTATATTTTGGACATGACATAAGAAGGCATTTCTTGCATTGGAAGGTGAAAAGGTCTATGCACCCCTGATATGATGAATGACTTTATAAGGACCTGTTACACTGTTGCAAGAGTAGATTTGGGGGCAGACATGATACCTGGGACTGCAACAAGGTCTTATTTCTGTTTCTGTATCATTGTTATGTGATCTGTTGTTGATAGTAAACAGTATGTTGGGGTCAGGTGGGCTGCCCGTGAGCAAATTTTATTGACCTGGATGGGCTGTAGATAATTCAAGATAAATTTGACAAGTTTTTCCACTGGAAGAATCTTTTAAAACCCATTTTCACAGCTTTTTTTCATTACAGGATTCCCCCCCCCCCGTAATTCAGGTAGAGGCTGCCTTGAGCCCTGCAGCATGGAAGGTTTATACTTGTCTGCTGAATGTTTTCTTTATCCAATTAAATGTACAAACACTTCTTTACTTGTTGACCTTCATGACTTTTTTGGGACAATGACTTTTACACATTTTCCATAAAACAGTTTTCAGTGTCAGCCTGAAATCTGATAATGTTTCAGCTCTACTTAACTTTTTTGTATGTCTGAGATTGTGTATAAAAACTGTCCAAAGTGCTACACAGTGGGAAAAATGGATGCCCAGGCTGCATTTTCATTTCTTTGTTGGAAAGATGGCAGTGTGATTTCTGTGGTCACAGCAGAAAGCGGAATTGCTTGCTTGCTGCACCAATATATTATAGTACTACTGAACTTCTGTTATTTCTATTGTGGGTCCTTTTTAGCTTTTTTGTTTTAATAACCTTATAACTGCAGAGCTGGAAGGGACCCTATGGATTATCGAGTCAAGCCCCTGTGAAGAAGGCACAGTGAGGAATCTCCCAACCTCTGGTTCTTCAGCCAGATGCCTAAACCACTGAGCTATCCAGCAGTTCTTTCTTTGTTTTTTCTTATTTTTTAGCATTTAAGTAAAACAAAATATAACATTTAAACAAAACAATCATTCTTTGTTTTTTCTTATTTTTTTAGCATTTAAGTACAACAAAATATAACATTTAAACAAAACAAAATATAACATTTAAACAAAACAAAAGAAAAAGACTGCTGGAATAAAATAATTTTGCACCATTGCAGACTGTTTTTCTATATGAAAATGGAGGAAGACATGCTCTAAAAACGGTTTCCATGTGTGGCTGGCTCCTGGCTGGATGAGGGCCATCTAATTCATCTGCAATATATCATAGACTAAATCTGTTTAACAACACTATGGCATCTTTCCCATTCTTCTCACAATTTACAGTTCCAGCCTGGTCCCCTATGTTTCACAGATGTTTATGTTCACAGAAGTACAGTAATTGGCTTGTAGCACAAACAGTTTCTACTAGGCTTTTTACTAAAGGTAATGTCATATAATTAAATGCTTTTGTGATAGTACACTGGATTGCACGCTACATTTCAGTTAAAAGTATATCACTGCTTTGATTTTCAGTGGATGTACTTGTTCTTTCTTTGTATGCTATCACATTGCCTTATATCTTTTTCCCCTTGAATCAACACTTGAGTCAGCTGACCTGGTTTCTTTGCTAGCAGCAATACCTTCTAATTCAGCAGAGATTTTTACTTTATTGTTTGACGTTTGGCAAAAGATGTACTGTAAGGTAATATGAGTGACGAGTTATGTAATTAATGTGTATAATTATTTTAAGTTTCTGGTATTTTATATCCCTAGGTTTGGCAGAAACTGTCTCATTCAATTTGAAGATTTTGCTAATGCAAATGCATTCCGCCTTCTGAATAAATATCGCAACCTGTACTGCACATTCAATGATGACATTCAAGGTAATGGAGTGTACTTACCATGCTGCTTAGATCCCTGCCTACTTTTGATTCTGACCCTTCCTGCCATCCCCTTTAGCACTATGGACTGCTAGCAAGCAGTGACAGATTCACTTTGACATATTATGCTGGAAGGAATATGGCCCTAAATAGATGAAAGGTTGCCCCTCTGTCTGTCACTTACATAGCGAGAGGAGTTAATGCCACAGCAAAGCAACCGCCACATTTTATATGTGTTTGCCTTGGGAGGGGAAACCATCAGATTCTCATAGGGCATAAAAACAAGAGGCATGTCCATAATGCCTAATTTTTTCCATATTACACAATTAAACTATATATGAACAGAAATACTGGATGTTATTAGTGAAACTTATCATAGTCTTTGCTGCTTCTGTTGCCTCCATTTGCCCTTGTCCTATTCTCCATTATGCAATTAAAGAGATTGGTGACCAGAATCCTCATTTCTTCCTGGGATGTAATCTAGAAAACAATTTCCAGTTGCAAAATCCTTTTTTATGAGCACGTTAAGAAATATTTTATTTATTTTCTTGATAAATAAGCCCTGTGGGAATATTATGTGACTGGTGGTATTTTGATCACAGTAAGCATATCAGCGGATTTTTATTTTTAGCTAATAAGAACATAGTTTACAAGGATTTGTATACAGGAACAAATTACAATATTTTTAATTCTTACAAAAACAGATGGACCATATTATTTATTATTTCTCGTGTGTGATAACTTTCCAAATATATTTCTAGTAGATATACCTTCTAGCACTCTTTATGTTTCATTAGGATTGCCTGTGTAAATTTTCTTATATATAGGCTTAAATCTATGCTTTAATATCACTTTAATAATCCTGCACCTTATATAAGGTAGCTGAAATCCTGTTGTTTTAACGTAATGCTGTATAACACCAATGATATCATCAACTGCAGCTATTTTTGGTAAATTAAAAATTTGCAGTTATCCCTCCCAAAAGTCCTGAGGCTCTGTTGGGATCTGTTTCATTATGGGACAGCTACTGGGGGACACAGAAGAGGAGGAAGTTGTTAATTTTGAAGGTCACAACTGCTGGGATGATTTTCCTGATAATTGCAAGTTTTTGGAAATCAAAGACTTTCCTACCCCATCTCATGATCCCTAACAGCTTCCTCACAATGAAAGGGATCCCAGAAGAGCCTTGAGACCCACAGCAGCTGATGTTGTGTGGAATAAGTTAAGCTATGGAGTTCAGCCAGTGAATGGCTGTGTGCTTATAGTTCTTCTTCATGCTCTTTATGTATGCATCCAAATGGGTGCTCTGCACCTGTGCAGACAATCCTACGGAATGTTCCAGAGCCTCAGTTTTATGTTTGCTTCTGTATTTCAGGAACAGCATCTGTAGCTGTTGCTGGTCTCCTTGCTGCTCTCAGGATTACAAACAATGAATTGTCAGATCACACAATACTATTCCAGGGAGCAGGAGAGGTATAATATTGTATTCATTGTCCTTCCTTCCTTCCTTCCTTCCTTCCTTCCTTCCTTCCTTCCTACTGCACATACCCTTATTTTCACTAAATCACCTCACCAGGACTAAAAGTATCTGCAAAAGAGCATTTCTATTGGATGGGATGCTACTGCCTGTGAATCTTGGATTCCATGATGGCATGGTGTAAATGTCCTACCAAAAAGCAATTATCTAGCTGATGCAGAGGGTTCCAAAATCTAGAATGGCCTGAAGTACTGCACTCTGCTTTCCCTTTTACTACCATTTGATTGTTTTCAGTGTGAATTCAAACTATATGGAAGTGGAAACTAGATTACTCTCTTCCTTAAACCTATCTGTTATATGTTCACATATAGATTCTTATCAAGGAACAGACTGGGCAGTTTAACAGCTCAGCAGACTTCTCAGAGTTTGTTTATGTCTACTTTGGTTGTTGTCTTTAATACTGAGTTTATCTTTCGAACTTCTTTCAAGATTGTTGACTATATTTTACAGCATCTATTTTGGATCTAAGGAGGTGTCGTCCTTCAAGTGCATGGTATTCTGAAATATGTTTGAAGAAATATGTTTCTCTGCATTGACTTTCTTTCTGACATGATTCACACAGTCACTTCCTGCTGCCTTTGAGAGATGTCTTGTTCACGTGGCACAGGGTCAGTGAGACTGCAAGTAGCTGTCTCAAAACTAAGGAGATAACAGATTTCCTGCACCACATGTTTCATGTGTGTATGTGTGCATGTGTAGTGATTTTTTTCTGGAGAGGAATACCAGGAACTAAAGAAAAAGAAGATATTTTTATGAAGATTAGGTTCATTTTCCTACCATGATCTACAAAACACATTGAGATGACAAAAAAAACTCTGATGTTAAATCAGGGGTGGGCAACTTGTGGCATTTCACATGTCATTGAACGTAAGTTCCCAGAAGCTCTAGTCAGCAATATAGGATTTACAGGCTCCTAATCATGTAGGTTTCCTATCTCCAGGGCATGTAGAAGAATTAGATCTTAAGAATAATGTCTAAAAGGCATTTGTCCCTGCTGTAACATATCTACTTGCTGTAGCTACAATTTGACTATAAATACAAATCAGGTAGCTACAAGGATAAGGAAATTAGCAGAGAGACTTTAAAAAGCTGAAGGACACAATATAATTTTCCAATTTTTAAAATGGGTGAGAAGAGGAAGGAGATCTGTGACCCATGTTAGAAATTTGCATTGCTTTAGAGAAATGATACACGGGGAGTAGTGGATAAGAATGTGAGTTATGAGGTATACATCCCATGGATCTCTAGTTGAAATCTTACATTAGCCACTAATTGAGTGGCTCTATGTAAGCAAAGCCATGGTCTCCCAGCCCCTATCTCTTTTTTGAGATTGTTACTACCAACCATAGAGTCATTTCTTAACTGTTACTGAGGTAGCATGAGGTGCTTTGCCTAGTCAAAAAAGTACAAGGTGTTGTTAATACAGTAATCATCACTGTGTTATTAAACTGCTTTATAGGAAATTATACAACAAAGAAAAGATGGTTCTAGAAGTGAATAGAAGCAAATATAGTTGTAGTAGTTGCAGCTAAGAATTGGCCATTGCTAATATTGTTTATTAGAGTTGACCTAAGCATTATGTGGGATGGCTCTGATTGGTTCTCTTGATCCTTGCCTTGCCTTATCCTATCCTACCCTGTCCTATCCTGATGAAACACAACCATTGGGTTGTCAGTTTTACTGATGTCATGGTGGAAGTATTTCACCTGTCTCCAGTGCTAATTCTCCAGCAGTCCTAGAGCTGCCTTTAGATAGGATTTATTTATTTATTTATTTATTTTTGATAGGAAGAGGAAATTTTCCTGAAGCTCTGTTTCATTCCTGCCCCTGCTCCCTAAAAAGAAAATGTTGGGAAGAAGCACTTACGGTTCTCCTGTGTAAAGTGTAACTTGGCTTTCGTACTGGTTGAAAATGTTGCCCTTAACCATGAATCCTGTTTCAATAAAATAAGTTTATTTGGCTGTGGCTACTTGGAAATCTTTCCTCAAGTAATTCTGGAAAATTCAGTGTAAAGGAACTGGTGCATGAAGCATTTATTGTCTCTTTTGAAAGTGTCAGCATAAAAATGTGTCAAGCTATGCAAAAATAATAGCACAAGGTTGTGTGAAAGGACTCTTAAATGACGCCCCTCAAGAAACATTAACATGAGCACTTGTAGATGTGCCAAGGTTGTACAAGGCACAGTGTTTCGCCATAACTGGCTGTTCAAAGAAGTCTATGTAAAGCTGACTTAGAAACACAGAGTATGCTTATCCTAAACCATTTTATATTCTAAGGTGATGTAACAGCAAATTATGTTGTGAATTACACATAAAAGTGGCAAACTCAGGGTATTACTTAATGTGCACTTAACAAGAAACCATAACCAAACCTGACTCTCTTGCTTACAAACATACCTCAGCCTCAAACATATGTTTATTGCACTCACACTATATCTATAAACCAAAAAAGTATATGTGCAAAGTAACACCCCAAACCATAGTCTGAATTGGCTCTAATGGTGCTAAAGATAGGCCTCCTAGATTTTGGATGTGAGGCTTTAATACAGTAAATGGACCCATTCCTTAGGATGTAGGATGAGATTTGACCAATGTTGGTCTGTAGGAAGGTGGCTAGGTATTCTGCTAATTCATGTGGCCTTCAACGAATCTTCAAGACAGAACTTCAACGAATCTGCAAGACAGAAGCTGTCCCACCAAAACTATACGGACTTCCAAAAATCCACAAAGACTCGATCCCATTCAGGCCCATTGTAAGTGCCATCAGCTCCCTGACATATAAATTAGCAAAATACCTAGCCACCCTCCTACAGACCCACACTGGACAATTTGGAAACCACTGTCTTGGTTTATGCAAGATAGAATCAACTTATAGTTACAACATTAAAAAAACACCTCACAATTTGTGTGCTTCATGTTGAGTGACACAGGGCTTGGGAGAAGAGTAGAGAGGCCTTACTTGAATTTACTGGCTAAGGCAACTAGACCTGGTGTGTTCCTAGATTCTCCTGCGGACTTTACCTCCCCCCTTCTTTTCTCCTTATGCCACCCTGTAGATATTTAGCCTGAAATGGGAAAAGTAAAAGTAAAGAGCAGAGTGTTGACTAGAAAGGTCACTGTGCAATGGAGTAATGCCTGAATTATATACTGTACAAACATTGCCAAATTTATGTGTTACCATACTCTTCATTAGCATGTACTGCAATAGTAACTACATCTGTGTATTCCTGAAGTAGTGACAGTTACTGTTGTTAATGAATGCCTTTCTCCCAAAATTTATTCGTTCATTCATTCACTCATTCACCAACTTGGATAGTCCCCAATAGTGTGATGTGCACTTTCTGGGCAGTTTACAACCAACATAAATGATCTACAAAATAGAACAACACCAGTTATAAGTACAGTATCAACACCAATAAACAATAGACAAAAAAGACACCACATAACTTGTCAAACCTAACTCAAGTAAACACTAATTTAAACTGCAGTTGGACATTGAGTGATATGATTTAATAAAAGACAGCTTTGAACCATTCTGTTTTTAATAGCTTCTTAAAAACTGGGAGGGTAGGCACCTGGAAAACTTTACTGCGAGTTTGTTCTGTAAGAAGGGGGACACATCTGAAAACACCTGGTTTCTGGTGGTAACTTTCTTGGCCACCTTAGGTATTGCTGTGTTTACCAGCAGCAAGTGTGGGGATTGTGTTAGAGAAGTAACTGTTTTGTAGGCGAAATATTTGTTTAAAAAATCTATATCATCTGAGTTGTGTTTCTCTAATTTATGAATTAATTATTTATCTGTTCTTTCTTCTCTTATTCAGGCAGCTTTAGGGATAGCCAATCTAATTGTTATGGCCATGGAAAAGAAAGGAATAACTAAAGAGGAAGCCCTTAAAAAGATATGGATGGTTGATTCAAAAGGACTGATTGTAAAGGTAAATACAGGTATTTTCCTAATACTAATACACAGGTAAAGTATTCTAGGTATTTTTTTAAACAAAATTGAGTGAAGCAATTTTGCTGCCATCTACATGTACTTTCTCTGCCCATTGTCTCTTTTTCATACAGTACATGACCCAGTAATCTTCACATTGGATTTTGTTTTGTCTGAAATAAACTATCCTGATGATTTCTTATGGGCTGCACAGAAAATTTACTTCTACTGCTTTGGGTGATACTGGGATTTTAGAAGTACATTAACTCACGTGAAGGTTAAAAGTGGGAATGTTGAAGTTCCTGCTGTATCTTGCATAAAAAATGGTTACGGTGTGTGAATATGTAAAGCACTGTTTTCTTAACCTTAGATTTTTATCACCTTCTGTTTACTGTGAACATAAAGATACCTATAAACCGAGAAAGTAAATATTGCTAGCAAAAGTGATTTCCTTCTGTTATTTTAATTTCTGTATCCCAGACTTCTACAAAAATGTCAGCTGTGTTGCCTCAAATAACTCTGTAGCATAGCAATAGAATAAAGACTGTATCCCACATGTTGTGGTTTACTATGATATCAGCAGTGGTTAGAAATTCAAGGCTGCTGAGAGACTTAATCAGTCATTCTTACCTCATTTCTTCCACATGCCAGAGCTGAGACAAAACTGTTTATAAAGTGCCAAATACAGCTGGATATCCTTAAAATTGTAATTTCTTTGTTACCGTAAATTTGAGATACTTAAAATTAGATCCTCCAATGAATAATGTAGTTCCTAATTCATCTTCTTTGGGTTGTCTGAACTCAAAATGTTCATGCTAGAATTTAATAAAAGAAAAATTAGATTTCCTGTTATATTCTCATGCTTCCTGCATATAATCAAACATTATTCCTTTTCTCTGTTGTTGTCAGTAATGTTGCTATCACCTATGTGTGGGAGTCACCTTGGTGTTTTGGACAGGGGTAGCGCAAGCAGTAGAGAGAGCTGTGTTTAGTACTATCAAAGCTGTAGGACACTTTATGATGTTCTAAAGCAGGCTTGTCCAACCCGCGGCCCAAGGGCCACAGGCGTGCTCTGGTCCATGGGGTCACGAAGAGTCGGACACGACTAAACGACTAAACACACACACAGTGCAAGCAGTAGAGAGAGCTGTGTTTAGTACTATCAAAGCTGTAGGACACTTTATGATGTTCTAAAGCAGGCTTGTCCAACCCGCGGCCCGAGGGCCACATGCGGCCCAGGTCAGCTTGTAATGCGGCCCAGTGCAATTTTTTATTTTTAAAGAAATTCCAAAGTTTCAAGTTACACTGCCGGCACTTGCGGCTGGAATGTGGCTGGGGCATGTCACAACAGTAGAGGGGGAGAGAGGGAAGGAAGGAGTGAGTAGGAGGGGACAGGGGGGCTGCGTGACTGCATTGCACCATCCCCGTCAATAGGTGGACCCCCTCCCGGTCCCATAAAGCCGCCGGAGTCGAAGCTGGCAGCCTCTGCTGTCTGAGATCGCAGCTGCCGGTAAGCGCGCTTGGAGGGGGGCTGTGGAGGACGGCTAGGGCTGCCCCCCCATGCGGCCCAAACCAAATTTTCATCTTCTAATGTGGCCCAGGGAAGGTGAAAGGTTGGACACCCCTGTTCTAAAGGAACTCTTACCTGCAGATTTAGTTTGGTTGCTTCACATGGTGGTTGAGATTATATGAATGCATTTCATGTGATCATTACAATCTGTGGCTAATTGATTACATGCAGTATGAATGTTGTCATCTCAGCCAGAGATATGGGTAATTGTCTTATTGTGTTCTGCCCCTTACATTTGGGAAATTATTAATATTAACTGGGCTGGTCCATATCCTTCCTAAACAATCTGACAAAGTAATTTTTAGGTGCAGGAAATATGGGAAGATAAATTGTTGTTCTTCTCATTTATATGTCTCTAATGCCCAAATTTAGAGGTGGTATTGGATGCGCTAGTCACATATAAAAAATCTTCCGAGTCAGAGAAATTATATTCTAGGGTTCTAAAGAAGCTTACAGATGGAACATATATGCAATACATGGTTTGGATTCTTTTAGCAGTGTTTCGGTTAAAATATTTTCTGTTGAAACAAATAAATAATATAAGCATAGATGGTGATAACAAGTTTTTGTGTTCCACAGATGTTTTATCTGTTTCGTTAGATTAACATTCCCAATAATACAGGCTTAGAGGGTTTAAAAACTAGAGTGATTTTTGTCTGATCACTTTGCAGTATATTGAAATTGGTCTTCATAAACTTGCCAAGAACTTAAAATACTTTAGTCCAGATTGGATCTCCATTCCTGTTCTGGCCACAAAATAAACCAGGTACAAGTACATCAGCTTAGTTCTGTAGTAGCAATCTTGGGAAGATCTTTAAAATCTATAGAAATACATTTGCATTCCAGTAATGCAGTCTTTAAAGAGGGAAGAGAGAAGATAAATGATCCTCCCTGCATGAATCAAGGGTGAGTCAAGAGAAGCCCACATTCTATAGCATACAGGAATATATTTATTGCTAGCCATGTGACAGACCTACAGAACATCTTGTGTTCTCCCTGGAACCATTTACTGCTGTTGATAATATATTGCCTTCCATTATATAAATATCAAGACTTGCGGTTACTAACTTGGGGAGGGAGAGAACAATTTGTAGTGAGGTAATTTGCACCATCACAGCACATAAACAGGAATCTTTATGTATGCATGTGTTCATAATGGATTGTTTAACTTTAAATACACAATCGTGTTAGAATTACTTTAAATTTGAATTGCATCATGCAGGTAGGTATCTCCACATATGTGGGATACATATTTATATACCTGTGCCAAACAGTAGGGGAAATGAAGACTATCCACACGCACATACCCTTTTCACAAAACGTCAGAATAAAGATGCTCAAATAAGATAAAACTTTACATATTTCTTGAACATTTTGTTACTTCCTCAGTTTGAACAATGGTGGCACTTACGTCATTTTCTGCTTGGTTCTCCCTTTCAGCATTCTAAAGTGAGCGCTCACTGAAATAAGCATGTGCTGTGATTAATATGAAGGGCCAAAACCTCTGGAGGCTCAATAAACATTTTTTACAGTGTTGTTTGGGGTTATCTGTGTTCTACAAGGAAAGGGATAACTTGTGCCAAAATGCCAGTTCTGTCCTCCCACACAGCTGCAGCCACTGTTGAAAGCAGATCCCACGTTCCCACAGTTTTCAGGCCTGAGGTGGTGCATGTGAGTCAGAGAGTCTTCCTTGGTCATCCCAAAGGAACTTGGATGGCTCCCAGTATTTGAGGGAAAATGCAAAGAAGCAACTTAGCTAGGGAAAGAATAGATGAGATTTGTTTTCTGAGAACATGTAGCAAACAGGGAGGTGGAATATTCTTTCTTTTTGATATAATGAAGTCCAACGAGTGTGCTATAAGATGGTAGAATAGGAAGATACTTCACTTAATTCATAATAGTGAAGCTTCTTTCTTAGTCGGTAAATTTCAGTCACTACACCTTATATGGCTGTACTTTTTCAGTCCTCTTATTTACAGAAGCTATTACATGCCTTACACAGAGTTCCACACTGTTCTCTGTATTCAGTCATTCTGAAAGAAATATATGGGTCTCCTGTGTGTTTAATTCCTAGGGTGGTGGAAGAACCTTTCTTGTCCTTCACTTTGTGTGTTAATCAGTCCAGGAGCAAAGTGTCAACCTGCCCTGAACTTACCAGGCAATGGAATACAAGAATACTTGATTTCATCTCTTTCTCAGTAGTTTCTAATGCAGAGAAATGGAGATACCTTCTGTTGTTTCCATTAATCATTGTTACTGCTTACAGAGCCAGAACTCAAAAGAACTGAATACCAAACAGTGGTTTAAAATGGATTGTTGTGCTCTGTTGCTTTTAAATATTTTGTTAGCATTCATTTTATTTAACATTTTTAACATAACACTTGTTTAATTCTTTTTAAATACAGTATTTGTATACTTACTGTTTTTAGCTTTCAACTATTGTCTTTTTAACGCTGTAAGCCACCTTCCCCCTTCACCTTACCCCTTCACAGATTGCTACCTTGTCGTGGTGAAGGGGCTTGAGTAATTCAGAGAAGTTATGGGCTATGCCTTGCAGGGACACCCAAGATGGACAGGTCATAGTTGAGAGTTCTGACTAAACGCGATCCACCTGGAACAGGGACTGGCAAGCCACTCCAGTGTCTTTGCCAAGAAAACCCCATGGACAGAAACAAAAGGCTAAAAGATATGATGCTGAAAGATGAGCCCCTCAGGTCGGAAGGCATCCAACATGCTACTGAGGAAGAGCGGAGGATAAGTACAAGTAGCTCCAGAGCTAAAGAAGTGGTTGGGCCAAAGCCGAAAGGACGCTCAGCTGTGGACACGCCTGGAACTGAAAGGAAAGTCTGATGCTGCAAAGGAAAATACTGCATAAGAACCTGGAATGTAAGATCTATGAACCTTGGGAAGCTGGATGTGGTCAAACAGAAGATGGCAAGAATAAACATTGGCATCCTGGGCATCAGTGAACTAAAATGGACAGGAATGGGCGAATTTAGCTCAGATGATTATCATATCTACTATTGTGGGCGAGAATCCTGTAGAAGGAATGGAGTAGCCTTCATAGTCAACAAAAGAGTGGGAAAAGCTGTAATGGGATACAATCTCAAAAATGATAGAATGATGTTGATACAAATCCAAGGCAGACCTTTCAACATCACAGTAATCCAAGTTTATGCACCAACCACTGATGTTGAGGAGGCTGAAATTGACCAATTCTATGAAGACTTACAACACCTTCCAGAACTGACACCAAAGAAAGATGTTCTTGTCATTCATTATAGGGGACTGGAATGCTAAAGTAGGGAGTCAAAAGATAAAAGGAATAACAGGTAAGTTTGGCCTTGGAGTTCAAAACGAAGCAGGGCAAAGACTAATAACTTTGCTAATAGAGTTTTGTCAAGAAACCAAGCTGGTCATCACAAACGCTCTTTTCCAACAACACAAGAGGCGACTCTACACATGGACATCACCAGATGGGCAATACCAAAATCAGATTGATTACATTCTCTGCAGGCAAAGATGGAGAAGCTGTGTACAGTCAGCAAAAACAAGACCTGGAGCTGATTGTGGCTCTGATCATCAGCTTCTTATAGCAAAATTCAAGCTTAAACTGAAGAAAGTAGGAAAAACCACTGGGCTAGTCAGGTATAATCTAAACCAAATCCCTTCTGAATACACAGTGGAAATGAAGAACAGGTTTAAGGAACTCGATTTGATGGACAAATGTTACAGGCTGAAGGCTTGTAACATTGTACAAGAGGCAGCAACAAAAACCATCCCAAAGACAAGGAAATGCAAGAAAGCAAAGTGGCTGTCTAATGAGGCCTTACAAATAGCAGAGAAGAGAAGGGAGACAAAATGCAAGG